TGATCTGATGAGATGAGATTTGACCTCCTTAAAACTACCGTTATTATTCCTAGGGGCTTCTCTCTTTACTCAAACTACCGCTATTATGACTAAGCGCTTATCTTTACTCAAATTTATCTAAATTCTACCCACCAGGTGTTTGACCGTGATGGTCACTTCAAGTTCAGTTTTGGCTCCAATGGAGAGGGTAACGGTCAGTTCAACGCTCCGACAGGTGTGGCTGTGGATGACAAGGGCAACATGCTGGTTGCTGACTGGGGAAACTCCCGGATACAGGTGAGGAGGGGATGGGCAATAAGGGGAGAGAGGAGGAGGAACAATGAGGAGGGGAGGAATGATGGAGGAGCAATAAGAGGAGAGGGGAGGAGGAACAATGAGGTGGGGAGGAATGATGGAGGAGCAATAATGAGGAGAGGGGAGGAGGAGCAATGAGGAGGGGAGGAATGAAGGAGGAGCAATAAGAGGAGAGGGGAGGAGGAACAATGAGGTGGGGAGGAATGATGGAGGAGCAATAATGAGGAGAGGGGAGGAGGAGCAATGAGGAGGGGAGGAATGAAGGAGGAGCAATAAGAGGAGAGGGGAGGAGGAACAATGAGGTGGGGAGGAATAATGGAGGAGCAATAATGAGGAGAGGGGAGGAGGAGCAATGAGGAGGAGAGGAATGAAGGAGGAGCAATGAGGAGGGAAGGAATGATGGAGGAGCAATAATGAGGAGAGGGGAGGAGGAGCAATAATGAGGAGAGGAATGAAGGAGGAGCAATGAGGAGGAGAGGAATGCAGGAGGAGGGGAGGAGCAATAAGGGGAGTGGGGAGGCGGAGCAATCAGGAGATGAGGAACAATGATTAGTAGGAGGGAAGGAGAAGAGGAGCAATGAGGAGGGGAGAAATGAAGGAGGAGCAATCAGGGGAGGGGGGAGAAGGAGCAATGAGGAGGGGAGGAATGATGGTGGAGCAATAAGGGGAGAGGAGAGGAGGAGCAATAAGGAGAGAGGGGAGGAGGAGCAATGAGGAGGGGAGGAATGATGGAGGAGCAATAAGAGGAGAGGGGAGGCGGAGCAATACGGAGAGGATGAGAATAAGGAGAGAGGCGAGGAGAAGCAATGAGGAGGGGATTAGCAATAAGGGGAGAGGGAAGGAGGAGCAATGAGGGGAGGGGGGAGAAGGAGTAGTGAGGAGAGGAGGAACAATAATGAGCAGAGAGGAGAGGAGGAGCAATGAGGAGGGGAGGAACGAAGGAGGAGCAAACTAAGGAGGAGTAAAAATATTACGGACAGGAGTGAAGGAGCAAATTGGAAAGGGGGGGGGGGGTGATAATAATGAGAACAGAGGAGAGGAGGAGCAAGGGAAGGAAACCAGTGGAACAATGAGCACAGCTGGGGGAATAAGGGAAAGATGAACAACGAGGAGGGAGAATCAGGGGAATAATGAAGTAAAGCTGTTCAAAGAGAGTTAAGGGGAAATAAAAATGTTAGAACTGGAGAAGTTATTAAGCCAGTTCTAGTTGTTTCCCCTTGAGTAAATATGTCTTTTCATTACCCCCCCATTCCTCTTTTCACACTCTCTCTCACACACTCACTCACACACACACTCACTCACACACACACACACACACACACACACACACATGCTCAC